CAGCTGTAGTTCAGGCCTGATTGTCTGTTGACTCTACCCTCCACTGCTAAGAGGTGGGGGCATGCATCTAGCAGCCAATCGCTCCACAGCCCCCACCTCTGGGGGGGAATGCACCCCCAAACCAGCACTGCCCCCCACCAGCCAGGGTCGGCACAGGGTGGGGAAAGCCCCCCCACTGCCGCAGCTGAAGGAGGACTGGAATTCTTCCAGCCCTGCCCCGTCCTCAGCCGGATGGGGTGGGGGATGGGAACACAACCCCCCCCACCACCATCACCCCAGCCTGGCACTGGAACCCCACCTGGGTCTGCCCCATGCTCCTGCTAGAGCCAGGCTGGGATCACCCCAGCCCTGCCCTCTCCTCAGCTGAAGGCCTCTGAGGCAGGGGGTGGGAATGCACCCCCATGGCCCAGTGCTGGCGCCCCATCTGGGGCCTCCCCAGCATGGGGGGAAAGCCCCCAACCAGGGAGCTTTTCACCCCACTGTACTTGGAACCAGGCTGGGATGCTCTAGCCTGGTCCCCTCCTCAGACATTGGTCTCTGAGGCGAGGGCAAGGGGAGGGAACCAGGTGGGGGTCAGGTGCCAGTCCATTCCCACCACCCATCCCCATCTCAGAAGCCCCCACCTCCTCTGGCTGATAAGAGGGCAGGGCTGGAATGATCCCAACGTGGCTCCAGCTATGGCAGAGACCAGCTCATGGCTCCAGCCCACATCAGGCAGCCCCCAGGTTGGGGTCTGGTGCCAGGCTGGGGGGCTGCATTCCCATCCCCTGCCCCCACATCAGAAACATCTGGTTGAGGAGGGAGCAGGGCTGGGGTAATCCCAGTCTGGCTCCAGCTGTATCAGGGTGTCAGGCAGACCCTGGGTAGGGATCCAGTGACAGGCCATTTGGGTGCATTCCTACCCCCTGCCCTCCTCAGAGACCCATAGCTGAGGAGGGGGCTGCTGTGATCCCATCCTAGCTCTAGCTGCAGCAGGGCAAAAAGCTCCTCCCTCCCAGTGAGTGCTTACACCTATGCTGGGCAGACGGTGGCTGGGAGGCCGGTACCAGGGGAGGGGGGTGCATTCCCCAGAGTCAGAGGGTTAGGGAGGGGTTGGACCTGAGCATATCACAGCCTGGCTCGCTGGGCTGCAGGTGGGTGGGGGAGCAAAAAGCTAGGGGTGCTAGGAGGATCTGGGGGGTCCATTCCTCTACCCATCCTGCTGAGCTGACAGGCAGAAAGCAGGCTGGGGAGCAGAGGCTTTACTTCCTCAGATCTAACAGCTAGGGGCAGGGGCAGGGGCAGGGCCAGCTCTGCTCCGCAGGAGCATTCAGCACAGCCCAGGGCTGCAAAGCATCTTGGGATGCTGGAGGACTGAGTTAACTGCAATCAGGAAGGGATCTGGGACAGAAGTTCAATAAATCAGTTTGACCTAAATCAATTAAGTCTGAAGCTACATCCATCCAGGTTTATCTTAAACCAGTTTTGGCCATTTTGAAAGTGGCCTTGGTGCATTAACTTCTGTCCTGTTACAGTTTTAAACCAATTTATGATCACTTAAATCAGTTTGTGTGCAACTTCTGCCCTAGCCTTGATAACAGACAGTGACAATAGAGAAATATTTTCTAATTTTTTAAAAGAAATGTTAGTTCACATTTCTTAACACCAGGGATCTGGAGAAATGACAGACAGATTTATCTACTGAACTTACTTATGATTTCCCTCTCCCCTGTTGCAAAGTCCAATTTATGTACTGCAAGATTTTAGCAATATGCCCTCACAAGTCACATTTTGTCACCAATATCATTCTGTCATTGGTGTTTTGTCAGCTCATGTATACATCTGAAAAAGACTAAGCCACCACAACAAAATGAACAATAAATATAATAATGTCAATAAATGACTTGTTTCAATGGTGATTTACCTGACCTCTTCTCCCTTGGCCCCTTTGTTTAGTAAAATAATGAAACATCAAATTGTGACCCCAACCTCTGCATGCAGGCGCTTCACTGCTCCGCAATGAGGAGGTTCAGAAATACTTTCATAGCATACTTATTCTCCATGATCCTGGAAATGATGTTCCATGGGGTTGGGACCCACAGAGGAATAATATGAACGGTTTCAAATGAATGCAAGAAAACACATCATCTTCCATATTTCACAAAAAAGATTGCCCTAGCAAGGTTAAAAAAAAAACCACAGACAGACTTCACTGCCTTTTAGAACATCACTACCTTCATCCTATTTAACATTGTTCTTGTAGCACAAGACATTGGAACTATGCTACTGGAAAGCAGAAGGACACAGCAAGTTGACTGTCAGTCCCCCACACATAGATAATTGTGGTCTCTTACAAGTACAGTAGAATTGATTATTCATATTCAGATGATTTGCAACTTGCTTAATTAGCAGCAGGTTGCAGACTCAAGAACAAGCCACACAGCCATTTAAATGTGGCTTTTAAATCCAAGAGTGCAACATTTTCCAGCCAACTCAGCACCTCACCTTCCATCTGCAATTGTTTGATGCAGTTGTAAATATGCTGGGTACTTTGCACATCCACACCTACACAGGATCCAAAGTACCC